TGTTCAGCTAGACCCTGTAGCTATGTTGGCACCAGAGAATCAAAACACTGGTCTCCTCTAAACTTCAGTGTCCTATGGTGTTGATGGACAGAGTCCCTGCTTAAGAAAAAGTAGCTACGTCAACTACAAGATCAGCTACCACCTAAACTATGACCAGAATTCACTATGCCTGTATTGAATATATATTTTTATTGTATAACTTTAACACTAGGCCAAGGCTGGGTTTAGGGGATTAAGCTGAGGAGCAGTGGGTGAAATTATCTTTAGTTCTCACAGAAGGTGAGAGTCCCGATGAACCCTCTCTTGTTTAAATGTATATGAGCAAACCCTCATTTCATCAGCTCCCTTGTCAATTGCTCCCAGCCCCTCGGGAGCAGACTAGCAACTGCACGTAGTCAGCGAATCAGCTGTTTTGCGGCAAGCCTGGGAGAGAGGGGAAGAAGCGGAGCAGCAGCGGCACACTCAGGGGAGCGGGCGGAACGGAGGTGAGCTGCGGCGGTGGGGGGCGCAGGGAGGGCCACAGGAAGTAACCCTGGGGGGGGAGGCAGAGGAACCGCTCCCCCCAGCTCACCTCTGCCTCCTCCCCCAAACGCGCCATCGCCACTCCGCTTCTCCCCTCTCCCTCCCAGGCTTGCCGCAAAACAGCTGATTTTTGAAGGGTAGGAGGGGAAATGCAGCACGCCCGGGGGAGGAGGTGGGGCCGGGGATTTGGGGAAGGGGTTGGAATGGGGCGGGGAAGGAGCAGAGTTGGGGCGGGGCTGGAGGGCGCAGGAAAATTTATTTGCTTGGGGCAGCGAAAAAACTTGGAGCCGGCCCTGACTCTGTGTGACTTATTCTGCACCCTAACCTTTTCTTTTTCCAGTGGGTTCTGTATTCCCTAGCCCCATGCATGCCCTTGAGACTCGTTATATAACTCAGTTCCCTCTCTCTTGTTCATCATCACAGTGGGGCAGCATGATACAGGGCACTGAGCACTGGGCACAGAGTCAATTCCAAGTTCTTATTCCAACTCTGACACCCTCCTCTATAAACTTGGGCAAGTCATTTCAACACCTTGTTCCTCAGTTTCCCCAATTGACTGATCCACGTCCCAGGAGCATTGTGAGGGTTAATCCGTTAATTTTTATACAGTGCTTGGAAATATGAAGCATATAGATATTCTGAGAATGAATGAATTAAACACGATGGCTAAATTTTATCTTAAGTGCTCATATAATGACCTCTACCACAAGTTGTCAGTAGGGTTTGAACACATTCCTTCAGCACCAAAGCACAGACCTCTGCCATTTCAACTAAAGGAGTAACTCCACTAGCTGGCAGTAATAGTAAGTAGGTTTCTTCTATGTGGACTAGCCATTAGATGGGAACACAACATATACTTAGGGCTTCTTATTTTAGGTTATAACCAATAAAAACATAAAATACCCTGACACAAAAAACAATGAAATCCAGAAATGGTTACTTGTGTCCAAGGTCTCATCTACACGGAGCAGTAATGTGGACAACAGGGCTGTGATTTTGAAAGTACACTAACACGCTGAGCATTTATGGGTCCATGTAGACCCTGCTGGTGAACACTAAAAGTTCCCAAGTGCATTTTAACACAGTACTGTTTGAAATATACTATGTTAAAATGCACTAAAGAACATTACAAAGAGATTACTCATTACAGTATATATGAAGAGAAAGCCTGAAAAAAAAAACAGGTTTTGGACACCTACATAAAACTCAAAAATTGCTAGAAGTAAACCCTGAAAAATGAAATTAATAAACCTTGACAAACAGAAGCCTTACATATTCTGTACTTTGTAAACATGTTACAATGAGTATTAACATCATTCAGACCAACTCTGTGTTCCTTTTACCTGTCTGCACCACCATCTCTGCACCCTAAACTCACTTCCCTGTGACTCAAGAACTTTATCACTCTGTGCTATCTATCTCTATCTCCCTGGGTCCCATTTCGGACTCCAGCCACCTCCTGACCCCCACCTCCACACAACCTATTCTTCTGTTACATCCCAACTAGGGCTGGGCAAAACTTCTCTGACTGCCCCTATGCGTAGGAACCAGAGAGTGGGGACATGCCACTGCTTCCGGGAGCCATGCGGAGCGGCTACCGACCCTGCTCCCCAGCTGGAGTGCTGGAGCGGGGCAAGCCCCAGATCCCACTCCACAGCGGTAGCTCGAGGGCTGGATTAAAACGGCTGGCAGTCCGGATACGGCCCACGGGTCGTAGTTTGCCCACCCCGCACTAGAAACATATCCACTGAATGGTTTGTCATTTACAGTCACGTTTTGAGACCTATCAGTTAGCCATCTTTTAATCTATTTCATGTGTGCCAGGTTAATTTTATATCATTCTAGTTATTTTTTTAAATCAAAATGCCATGCTGTACCAAGTCAAGCGCCTTACAGAAGTCTATCACATCAACATTATTACCTTTACCACCCAAACTTGTAATCTCATCAAAAAATAGATATCAAGTTAGTTTGACAGGCTCTATTTTCCATAAACCCCTGTTGATTGGCATTAATGATATTACCCTCCTTTAATTCTTTATTAATCTAGTCTCATGTCAGGTGCTCCATTATTTTGCCTGAGATCGATGTCAGACTGACAGACCTAGAATTACCTGGGTCATTCTGTTTACCCTTTTTAAATATTGGTACAACATTAGCTTTCTTCCTGTCAATACAGCCTTCTTCCTCGTTCGTAGCTTTTTGGGCATCTAGTAAAGTATTTCTATTAAAGAATTTCCAGTGATCATTCACATTTTTTTATTAAATTCTTCCTCCCAGCTGATTTGGCTCATGGCTTTATGTCAGTTTTGCCAAATTGTTAGTCTAGAAGGGAAAAAAAATTCAAAAGAAATCAAAATGTTTTGTTTTGACATGTTCTAAACAAATTGTTTTGATTTTTTGGGTCAAAAAGACTTTCCATTTTGGAATTTCCTTTAATTATATTTTTAAATAATTGCTCAGAATTTAAATGAAAATTTTCATTTTGGGACAAATAAAACTTTTAGCTTGACCGGAAGTAGTTTTCAGGTCAACTTGAAATGATTCCCCTTGCCCCATATTTCGGGACTGCCAGCAAACTGAAAAAATCTGTTATTTGAACAGCTCCAATCCCAACTCCATCTACCTGTGACGCATTCTGTATCTGAATCCTGCCTTGTTCTCTTTTGATCTGTAGTACAGAAGATACAGCATTTCATGTTCCCCCCTTTACATATGTATTGTACATGGAAAGGGCTTCTATTTTGACACTTATCCATATAAATAGGGAGGTTAATGGTGAAAGAAAGAGGGAGGCATGCAAACTACATCGAAATAACTTTAATAGCTCTAATGCTAAAAGAGAAACCCTGACAATTCACAAGTACAGTGGATGCTCTGCCCTTAATTCATATGAAATGGTCACCCTGTATTACACAGAGCTTTGTACAGGATAGGGGGATTAGCCACATGTTGTAGGCTTCACACAGCTAAAACCAAACACCCTGTTTTGAAAGCCGAGTGCTCATGGAGAAATCCTGGTCTGTTTTTCCATATGGTGCCATTTAAGCTTTACACCAATTCTCCTGCTACAAG